CGACGATTACGATGGATACGGAAGTTACGGAAGAGGTTACGGACACCGTGCCCGATACGGACGTGGTTACGATGACTACGGCTATGGAAAATACGGAGATTCCGGACGTTACGGAGACCGTGGATACGGTGCCTACGGCGGACACAAATATGGCCTCTACAAAGGACACGACCGTTACGGAGGACACAGCGGTGCCCACGATCGTTACAGGGATATAGATGCCTACGGTCGTAACAAGGGAGCCGGTTACGAAAGAGCCTACGCTTACGACAAGCAAGCAGCTTACAGGGATCACGCTGGAGACCGTGGCCATTACGGTGGTTACTACGGAGATCACGGAAGACTCGGACACCACAGCCGTGGCCATTACGGAAAATTCGGACACGACCGTTATGGTGGTTACGACAAATACGGTAGCTCCGGTTACGGCAGACGTGGTTACGATCACGGAGATTATGGCAAACACGGATACGACTATGGCAACCACGGTTACGGATACCGCCCACACGGTTATTATGGTACTCGTTATGGTGGTTATTACGGACCTAAGGACTACTACTAAACAATAAAAAAGTACGGGCTTAATTCTATATTTATACTTTCACTATCCAAATTATGACTTTCATTAATGAAATTTTTTATCTTGTTTTTCAGGGTCATCTTCCCATACAGCGTCATCTGCTTCTTGATGTTGTAAATTAATTTATTCAAAATAAATTATTTTTTTCTGTTACAATCAATTAGCAATGTCCTTAAGCAAGAGTCTTTGTGTTGGGTCATCGATGTTCCCAGGCAAATTAAATGGGCCAACAATTTTTTTCCCTTCAATTCCTTTCGAAACAGATTCGAAATGAAAATTGTTAATTTTTTTTTTTAAATTTTTCCGAAAATAATAATATTAAATCAGGCTGTTCATTATGTAACTATATAAACTGTCGCGCACTTAACATTTATTGTTCATTAATTTTGTAATAGCTTCTGTCTCAATTTTAATGAATCGTAAATAAAGTCGTGTAGCAACACCCAAATCAGGAACTAGATCTTGACATTTAAGATATTACCGTATATCCTTGAGCCCGCCCATGATCGAAACCTTCTTTTTTTTTCGTTTATCATTACGATAAAGTTCTGAGGGTCGTTCAAATAAAAATAAATTTAAAAAAAGAACTAAATTAATGAAAGTAAAACGTGTCATTCAAGGGCGTGTCCGTCATTTAACTGTTTATGGGTGCAAAAAACTTGTGGACATGTGGCACCTATTAACTATCATAGAGACGACTTTAACTACTAGTAGTTATCTTTATACTTTGAGTAACATGATAATATTAGATATATATTCTCATGTAAAAAAAACTCAAGAACTTTAAGGGACATTTTAGGAAAATGAACCCGATCATATTACAATTGGCTTACTAGAAAAGTAGAAAAATATAAAAATCTATAATAAATATTCTTTTAAAATGTTCATTTCATTGTTGAAATAATAAATTAACGTTTATTTGTTAATATTGATATTTATATTTTTCTGTATCCACTTCTTAAAGCAGAATGATATCTATTTACTGCTGACTTTGAACTTAAAATAAAAATTAACAAATAAAGTTTTTATCAATAAATTTATTATTTATATTATTTAAAAAATAAAATTTCAAACAAATTTAGTATAGACTTTTTGTGTATTAGAATGATTTTAAAGTATATTTAGTTAAAAATTTTAGCATAAAACAATAATTATTATCAATCATTTAATATATAATCTAATTTGACTATATATATATATACATTTTACAAGGAATTATAATTTGANTTAGGGGTACAGAAAAAAGTTAGTTATTATGGCAGAAAAAATAATACTAGGCACAGCATTTTTTTTAAAATAAATTGAACTAGTTTATAATTATTTTACTTATTACACAAGAGTTTAAGGTAATACGAATTATTATTTGCGTGACTCTTTTTAATATTGATTATGTAAATGCACCGCACTGAAAATGGAAAAAGTGTATCAATTACTTCCGTTTCCGCTCTGGATCATATTGTAAAATTATAAATGTCATATCTTACTATGTAATTGATGCTAAACTTTATATAAAAATTATTTTTAGACGAATACTACAAGATATTTTATAATTAATTAATTTAACTGATGCTTTGAGAAACCATGAGAAAGCTCGACGCATCATATTTACAAATGGGCGCAATGATGATGTATTATTAACTTAAAAAATGATATAAAATGTCTATAATTTTTCGATTTACATATAAATCAGGTTGATAGAAATCTTTTACATATTCTTTTCTTTTAAACGTATAAATTTATAACATCGTATTAGTTATTCGTTACGCAAAGTACTGTACATTACCGTCGCATAGTGAATCGAAATGGCGGTTGAACATGATATCGCCTTCTCGTTAAGTCCCTATTACAATAATATTTCATTAATAAGTTACTGATATATAAACAGGACATTACCGAAATTAATATAATAACATTTTCATATTTATATGGTAAAAAATTTGCATATAATTTACAAATATATTCCAAAATAAAATATGTTTGTGTAGAATGTTCTAAATGATTTGTCCTTCAATGCCCGTTCTAATGTTAACATGAAAGTCACAGAAAATCTTAGTTATCAGTTTTATTTTTGAGGAGGTGGCACATAAAAGTAAAGCACGCCACACCCGTGACCGAAAGATGTTATGGTTTCGTGACCGAAAAACATGTAGCAAGCCTACACCAAATAGCTTGAAGGAACTTCAAAAAAAATTAGAAAAATCGTTTTATCAATTTAAAAAGTATGTATATAACACGAATTTCTATACAAGTAAATTTCTTGCCCGGAAGGTTGATTTTACTTCAAAACATTTTTTGTAAACTTCTTAAGCTTAAAAAATTTCTTTCGTAGATTAAAAAAATGCCATGTTTTACTTTATTCCGCTAAAAACATGCTTTTAACTTTAATTTCATCACTTAAAAATTAATGTAAAAGACTTTTAAAATATATTTTCTGATATAAGCTTCATGTTTTTAAATTTTTATCTATCGTTAGCGGCAGTAAACACGCCAACATTACTTATTAAGTTTACATTATTGTCCTTTTGTAGTGTAATTTTCCGTTTCTTTATAGAAACGAATTGTTTGTAAGATAATTTTCATCTTCTTAAATTGCTTCTACCGAAAACCTTCACAAACGTTTCACAATAAACAATTAAATTTCATAATTGGCTTTTAACTAACGTCCAACAGATCTTATTGAATTTTAAAATTCATATATAAAATAGTTTGTTAATTATTGTTATTATTTTAATTGAATGATTTTCAATTAATGTATTCTTATTAATTTTTTAAATATAATATACATAAATGTAATTAGGTTTCTTCTGTTGCAACGTGAATAAATCGTGATGTATAATCACTAGCTTTGGTTTATGAAATTGTTACAAATCTAGAACATTACCTAAAGTAAGGGTGTAAAAGTTTTTACTGGTGTAAAAATAATCATTAAAATTATGCCAAATTTATAATTTTATTTGATTTTTATCTGATAAAGTATATTGAGTGTATAGGCTCATAAGTTCATTATTGCATTGTTGACAGTGCAATAATAATTAGCATTTCATTAATTAAAATTATGCTTATTGTAGATATATTGTTGCTATATGCTGAATTAGCAACAAAATAATATATATATA